TATTGCAACTGCCAGAATATGAAGTCTTTGCTTTATTGAGTCAGGTGAGATAAAGTCATAGAATATGTGACTGGCACATTTTCTATAACATTTAGGTAGAATTCCTAAAAGTAGGGGAGGAATGAAATTGGTCCTGATAACAAGAGCATGCATGCATTCATGTATGTTTTGAAGCTAGAGGATAGTCTTGGGTGTTTTTCCTCAGGCACTTTCTTTCTTTCTTTCTTCCTTTTTTTTTTTTTTTTTTTGGTAACTGAAAACAAGCTAGGATTCTTGCTGGCCTGGAGCTCTAAAGCAGGCTTTTTTGAAATCATGACAGCTTGGCCTTAGTTTAGGCTTTTTTCCTTTTTTTTTTTTTTTTTTTTTCTGAGACAGGGTTTCTCTGTGTAGCTTTGGAGCCTATCCTGGCACTTGCTCTGGAGACCAGGCTGGCCTCAAACTCATAGAGATCCACTTGCCTCTGCCTCCCGAGTGCTGGGATTAAAGGCATGCACCACCAATGCCTGGCAGTTTAGGCTTGTTTCTAACTAGTTCATATAACGTAATTAACCCATTTCTATTCATCTACACAATGTCATGTGACTTGTGGCTTTCACCTGTCCTCCTGTGTTTCCTGCTTTCTCTGTCTGTCTGGCGATTAACTCCACCTTTCATTTTCCCCAAGGCCTCTCTGTCCCCAGAAGTTCTGCCTAACCTCTTCCTGCCTAGCTATTGGCCATTCAGCTCTTTATTAAACCAATCACAGTTAACACATCTTCACCCAATGTGAAGGAATATTCCTCAGCAGAACTCCCCTTGAATTAGGCCAAGCAGGGTAGACATTTAGCAACAGGGATTCCTGCCTCCACCTACCTTCCCAGAGCCACCCCCACACCCTTTTAATGGCCTCTAGAAATTGAACTCCAATCCCTGTGCTTACAATGCAAGTGCTTTATAAGCCATCTTCCTCTTTTAACAACCTCCTGAGGGAAGGACAGCTCCCCTCTTCTTGTCCAGGGCTTTACCTTCACAGTAATGGTACGTCACAGGCATTGTGTCCTACAGTGAATAGTAGGGGATGGCTTCAAACAAAATGCATAAGTCAGATCATATGCCTGTTATTTACACATGTTAATATGTATTATAAAGAATATTGACAATACACATACACACACAACCCCTGAAAGTTGAAAAGACATGTGAGACCTTAAATTGTAGCCTTATTCTTTGAGTTAATAATACTTTTTTTTCCCAGAAAATATTTCCAGAGGAGTTGATTACAAAGGCATTTAGTGCCATTTTAGAAGAGAAAAAAACTAAGCCAGGTAGTAGTAACAAATACCTTTATTCCTAGCACTCAGGAGGCAGAGGCAGGCAGCTGTGAGTTTGAGGCTGGCCTGGTCTACATAGTGAGTATCAGGACAGCCAGGATACACACACACACACACAGTGCTATAATTTCTGATTACAAAATAACTTAATTTTGCCATTTGAATAACTTAAGTATATGCCTTTTAAAATACTTCTATGTTTTATGCACTTTGGAAAAGATCAGGTAATAAAATTCTATGATTTGAATTTAATGACTCGGTTTATGTGGGCATGCAATTTCTATAGTCCTGGTAATAAAGCTTACATTTCTTATTAACGATTCTCTTCATCCCTCCATCATCATCTTTAAACCCCTGCCCAGAGAAGCATCTCCTTTTCTTTCTTTTCTAGTTAGCATACAAAATAATGGGTCTTATTGTGAAATTCTCATCAGTATCATGTTTTGTTATTTGCACCCCCCCCCACCGTTACTCACCCTCATCCCATTCCTCGTTCTTTTTCGTTTCTGATGGTTTGAATGAGAAATATACCTCCCCTCCCCCAACATATAGGATCAAATATTTGAGCACTTGGTCCCCACAGGGTGGCACCATTTGGGGTGGAGAGCCTTGCTGAAGGAAGTGTGTCCTGGGGGAGGGGAGACTTTGAGAGTTTATGTTCCTATCCCACTTTGAGTTGACTCTGCTTCCTGTGTGGTGAAGTGTTTCCCACTCCAGCTGCCTGCTGTCATGCCTTCCCTGCCATGATGGACTCTCGCTCTGGAACCTAAGCCACTACAAACTTAAGTTTGTTTAGGGTCATGGTGTTTTATCACAGCAACAGAAAAAAACTGAAATGAGCATTTATACCATATTCTTTTATAGGATCACCACCTTTCAAGTAGCAGAAAGGGAGCTGGAGAGATGGCCTAGTGGTTAAAAGCACTGGCTGCTCTTCCAGAGAAACTGAGTTCCATTGCCAGCAACCACATGGTGGCTCACAACCATCCGTTATGAGATCTGGTGCCCTCTTCTGTCCTACAGGTATACATGCAGGTAGATCACTATAGATGATAAATAGATTTTTTTTTAAGGAAGCAGAAAGGTATATCATTTGGTGCTTATTAAAATGAATGCACACACATGATTTAAACATTTAGCTTGAATGTATTTTATACCTGGGTAAAATCTGTGGGGTTAGCAAGATGACTCACCGACCATGCCAGATGACTTGAGTTTGAAACCTGGGATCCACATGGTAGAAGGAGAAAACAACTATCAAATGTTATCCTCTGACCTCCATTGGGATGCCATGGCACACATTCCCACATACAGACACAGTAAATTAATGTAATGAAATACTAATTTGTACCTCAAAAAGTTTCAAAATCCCAGACAATAGTTTGTTTAGTGATTACTTTTAATAGTCTGGTGAAACACTTGACCAATTTACACTAAATATGTTATGTAGCTCTCATTTGTAGGATTTGAAGCCTCTGAGTTGATAAGTATATAGAGTATTCGTGTCTATGTGGGTGCACACATGTGTGTACACACTGTCTAGAAACATTCCAGCCTCTTTGCATCAGTAGACACTGATTTCAAGTTGCATGATCAGGAACACACAAAACACTATTAGTGATAACACTGGAGCTTTTGGGTGTTTCATGGTTCCTATTAGGGTTTTTTACTTAGGTCACTGGAGTTTGAATGTGACATATTAAAATTACAAAGTGGGAAAATAAGAGCTGCTCTTAATTCAGAATTTTAAGGGTCACATATTTGGTGTCATCATCCCCACCAGATATTTTACTCAGAACACAGCACAATGACATGTGAACAGCGCAACACTGAACAATTAAGAGGGGAAAGTCATATGAAATTAATCTCATGGATGACTTGTAGTTCTACCTTGAAGATCTGGACTTTTCTCAAACGCAACTAAAATTTTGTTAGACTTTTATTCAAATGTATTTGTGTAGCGAAACAAAACCCTGCTGGGTGGTAGTGGTGCACACCTTTAATCCCAGCACTCGGGAGGCAGAGGCAGGTGGATCTCTGTGAGTACCGGCCAGCCTGGTCTACAGAGTGAGTTCCAGGACAGCCAGAAGTTACACAGAGAAACCCAGTCTCAAAAAAACAAAAACAAAAACAAAACAAACCCCCCTGGATTTTAAATCTTTAATTTTTTTTGGGGGGGGTGGGGGCGGGAGAGATGGGGTGAGAGTCAGAATGTGTGTCCTCCTCTGAATGAACAATGATGTGTGTGGAGAATGTACGTGCCTCTGCACCATAGCATATGGGTAGAGGTCTGACAACTTTGTGGAGTCAGTTCTCTCCTTCCTTTCAGTTCCGGGGATTGAGCTCCAGCTGCACAGCAAAACACCTTCACCTTCTTAGCTATCTCCACGGCCCAGATTCACAGTCTTTCTGGACATTTTAAACATTTGCTGTGAATTTACACAATTCAGTTATTTTTAAGTTTATTCATGGCAGTGTGAAACTATGAGCAAAATGAATTTAGAACCTTTTTTTGCTCCCCCTCCCCCACCAAAACATCATTCCAGTTATCTGTCCTCTTCGTCCTTTGCTACAATCATCCCTAACATACTTTGTGTTTCTATAGTTTTGCTTGTTCTGGAATTTTGTATAAACAGTATTTTAATAGGTAGTCTTATGAATGTCTTTTTTCTCTTAGTGTAATATTTTCCTATTACTGCAATACTATATATAATAACTTTATGCATTCTTGTGTTCAAGAAGTATTCTGATATATAAATATGTGAGTTTTTTTTCAATCTATTTACTGATTGGACATGGGTTCCCTCCCAACCTTAGTCTTCATCTGTTGCAGAAGATGCTTTAGTTAAGATCACTTGCACTTCTTTTTACTGTGTCCTGGCTGTAGGTCAGGGTGGGGTGGGGCAGGGAATGTGGCTCCAGCATCTCTTCTCAGACGGGTAGCAGTTCTGGTAGATAAGTTTCCCCCATTATGCTATCATCTCACCTTTTTGACCCCTTTAGACACTTTGTCTCCAAACTCAGTCTCCAGTATAGTTGAAAGTTAAGGGACAGGGTTGGCTTCAATGTATCAGTTAACCCTATTTGGAAGTGTTATACAGTTCAGCATACTGTGACTTTGTTCTCACAGAGGCAACTTCAACTCTTGAACTCCACCACCCTCATGCCTCAGAAAGGCACATGGTTAAGACAGGAATGAAACAGAAAAGAGAAATGCAAATTCCTGGAGTCTCTTTCCACTCATTTGTCGGGTCTGGATGGTCTCTCTGGTAATCACTGTCCTTAATGTAGAATAGGGGCCCTTCTGATGATGGAAGGGGCATTCATGAATTATGCTGGGAAGTGGACATAAAGGAACTGCCGATGGAAATTAGGATGAATGGCTTCACAGTTGACCAGCAAGAATGAAAGACTGTCACAGACCTAGTTCCCTCCCTTTGGAGAGTCTCTGGGAGCCAGGAAGGTAGATGTCACCTGTGACATTAGTCACAGGGCCTTTATCTGTGTCCCCATATCATCATGCCCCATTCCTTGGCACACACGAAGGTGTCTTTGAAAGAGAATAGATGATGGTGTGAATTCCTGCATTCACAGTTATGGGTTGTTGGTGTGAAAACAGTGGTGTAAATTAAGGATGATCTGCAAATTTTTTCTAACATTTATTTGAGTCAAATGTTTTATATCTTCCAGGAAACAACAAATCAACTTGAAAGCATCCAAGACTGTCATCCTGCAACTGGGCTGGGAAGTGATAACTAGGGAGCTGGACCCTTTATTCACTCTCTCGTAGATTTAAAAGGATGCGAAGAGAATATAAAATGGCAGAAATTTAGAGTTAACATTCAGGATGAATGATGATAATTCAGATAAGACAGATGAATTGCGTTATATGTTTATCAGTGATAAAAACGGGAATACATCTGAATACAACACAAAGCCATCATCTACACAGTGCCCTTCAACGAGTCACTGGGATTGGAACATTGCAAGCCCAGATGACATGGTGGTAGACTATGTAATGGATCCTGCTGTGGACACCAATGGAAGTGTTTCTGTAAGCCATCAGCGTGTTGAGCCTTCGAGTGATTTCATTGGTAAGCCTGGGTTTGCAGTTCGTAGTGATCCTACCCATCAGTCTTCTGCACTCAGTACAACGGAGTCCCCAAACCTGCACAGCAATTTGGATTCCCTAGAGGCACTCCAGGGCGAGAGATTTGAGCCCTCTTTGCCCTGCATGCGCAAGTCTGATGGTGATTTTGGTTGTGCAGACTCCTCTGCAGCTTTGGAGCTAAAACAGACATTGAACATGAAAGTAGACTCAATTAACTGTACCTTTAAAGCACTCCATTCTAGTGACCAGGGTCAGCCTTTATATGCTCCTGGAGGTCTGCAGCCAACGGGTGTGAGAGGTGGAAATACACTATCCTGCTCCAAGTGGACATCACCACATTCCTATAAGAAGAATGTGGGAGGAATTCATTATAATAGAGAGGGCTTTGAAAACCTTCAAGCCCCACCCTCAGAGGCTCTGAACACAGCCTACATAATATGTTCTGATGTGCCGATGCAAACCGATGGTGAAGACATTGGAATTCAATGTCACTATTCTTTAGGAAATGTCACCAAAGAGTACACAGATGGGACAGAGCAAGGACTCTTTGGAGAGAGAGAGATACAAGCTGTGACACCAGTTTCTGGTGGCATGGAGGTTCCCAATGGGTCTGTATTACAGGGGTTCTATTGTGCATCTGAAGATGAACCGAACAGTAAGACACATTCACACGGCTCATATGGTCAACAGGAAATGGGCCAAAATCTACGAGAAACACTGTCCAACTGTCATGTTGTTGAATGCCCTTTACTGGCACCAGCTTTTGATAAATGTAAAACCAGAGTCCTGGACTCTGAGTGTAAAGTCACTGTGACTGAAGACCTAGACATTGCCTCTTATGACAATAACTCAGAAATCCAAAATAGTGCTGGAGAGCTGACCCTAAGAGGTATCCCAGGGCAGAGGATTTCCTTTTATGAAATGGCTTGGGACGGAAATGGTAGAGCTGTTAGCACAAACAGTACAGCTTGCACGTCAATATCAACACAAGTTCCGAAAACCCCTGATATTAGCCTTACCCTTTTACCTGTTGACAATACAGAGATGTGCAATCTTGTAGAGAATAGTCCAAGAGATGGTAAAAATGCACCAAACTTGAAAGGTGCACCAGTGAATGTGTCAAAGCCTAATCTGGGAAAATCGGCTACCAAAACAAATACCCCCATGGGCAGTAAAGTTAGGAAAACAGAAATCATACGTTATCCAATACCAAACTTCAAGAACATTAAAGCCAAAGTTATATCTAGATCAGTGCTGCAACCCAAAGACCCTTCCCTACCAAAGGGTACACCCAAACCTCAGAGTACTGGGGTCTCCTCAGCCCCACCAGTGCCTTCTAAACAGTTGACAGTTGTTAGCAAAACAGAAAAATCCGACTTTACTGCAGACAAAAAAGCAGAACTCCTAATTAACAAGACAGACAAGCAACCATTTAATAAACTCATTACCAGCCAGCCTGTGCATGTTACAACTTATTCTAAAAACGCTTCGCTCAGGGTTCCAAGAACAACATCTGCCACGAAATCGAATCGGGAGGATGTTGACAAGACAGGTTCTTCTCATGCAGTGGTTGAGACTGGGTCCGTAGCTGTGTTTTCCCAGATCGAAGGCATCCTCCCAGTTAAAATGAAAAGTTCAGAGTGTTTGGAAGTAACATATGCTTCCCACATCGATCAGATTAACCCTGAAAAGGGTGAGAAGGATAGCTGCACTCCAGTGGAAAAGCAAGAGCTGAGAAAGCCAGATATGAACGAGTCTTTTGAATGCAAGTCCCTGTCTGTGGTAAGTGAAAGCTGCTGTCTGCTTCTAGGAATGGGGAAGAAAGCTGCTGTATTAACAATTCATTTCCTAGTATCTGCTAATAATATCACTGAACTTGGCTCATTTGTATTTGGGTATTCTTTGTCTTGTCAGCCAGTATGGAGTGTTGACGAGTCAAAATACAATGAACGTGCATAGTGAAAAACTTAGTTTCAGGAGTTTCTTGAACATGGGTGTTCCTTTTTGATAGTGTTTTAAAAGAATGTTAATATTTTAATAAATTTAGATATTTGAAGTGAAATATCTGACACCAGATTGCATTTTTTCTTACAAAACAAATGGGGTTGTAAGCATGCAAACCACATTGAAGAAATGGCTAGTGAGTGCTGGTAAACATATCAACATGAAAATCACTCCTGGTATCTTGTTGGAGAGAGTAGCCCTGGAGGTAGAGCCTATTCTCACAGATTTGAGTCTGCTTGGACCAGCTGTGTGGCACGGAGTCCTGTAGCTTTGCCCCAGCCAGAAAGGAAAGAATTTGGGTGGTGGGTGTGTAAGGTCACCTGCAGGTCATTTGCATTGGTTTCTAATACATGAAAGAAACAAACCCATATACAGTAAATAAAGCAGTTTGTCTTCAATGGCACCTGTCAAATCCTGAGTGGGACTAGATCGTGCATTATGTGCAGTTCAAAGGTTATTTTTCTTTAAATATGCACAAGTTTTTTTTTTGACAAAAGTATGATCAAACTAGTTTTCAAAACATTTGCCAGGCTGCTGTTGTGTGTGTCTCCTTAGCTCTATTTTTGGCAGTGGAGAGTTAGGTGTATTTTCAGCTCCACACAGACCGCCCTTGAAATGCTTGTCCTCTAGATGGGAACAGATCTGCGTGCAGAGGAGGAAGATAGACATCTTTGGGGACTCTTGTGTAGGAGGAATGAAACACAGCACGGTTAAGTACATGTTTGTTTCGGGTTACTTAGCAGGTAATGTAGGCAATGTCTAGAGGATAAACACTGGACATACTTTTGGTTTTTTGAGACACGGTTTCTCTGTGGCTTTGGAGACTATCCTGGTCCTTGCTCTGTTAACCAGGCTGGCTTGGAACTCACAGAGATCCTCCTGCCTCTGCCTTCCAAGTGGTGGGGTACTGGGATTAAAGGCATGTGCCACCAACGCCCAGCTGCAGATACTCTTGCCTGGGTCAGTTTGCAGATGTTTGGCTTTATCATAAAAACTCTATTGGTAAGGATGGAATGTCCCAGAGGTCTCTAAACCAATAGGCTACTATATTGTTTCAGGATATAGACTGTTCAAGTTCTTTTTATGTCTAATTGAGAAAACTCTGATCGTTTAAAAGTGAAATATACCAAATAAAACTAAAATTCCCAATTATAATCAAATAGTCTTAGATAGGTATTTCTAGATATTCCTAAACCAAGATATTTTTTCTTCATTTATGGGGAATTTGGTTATCAACATGTACCCAGCATGGCTTTGAATTGAGCAAATTCAGCACACTGTAGCTCAGGCTTGTCTTGAATTTGAGGTTGTCTTGCTTAGCAGCCTTAATGCTAAGATTAGTTATGAACCAGCATGCTTTGCTTTATGAGAGATGTTTACTGACTTGTTGGACCCCCAAGACCAGAAAAAACCAGCATAAAGTTTGTTAAACATTGGTCTTGAATGTAAATTGCTTGTGTAGTTCTAAAACTGGAGAGTTTGGGTTTTATGTCCTTATCTTTCTAATCAGGTAGCTGCAGGCCCATGAGGTGAGGCCATGGTGAGATGGATGCCAGCAGTTTGCACCTTGAGCAATGTTGCAGTGAGGCCTTAGAATTAGCTGTGAGGTGCTTTGTAAGGCTGTCAGGGCTGTCTCATCACTGGAACTTTCACTTATCTGCTAGAATAAAGAACTATGCTTCTGTGACCCTGTCTTACATACAGTAGCACCCTCCAGTTTGTCTAATTCAGCTCTCTCACATTTCTAGCCTCAGGAAAGGAGGTTTGAAGGAATGAAGAGGCCAGATAGACCATCCTAACCACAGGCTGTGGCTTATTGTAGAATGGTAAACAGGTGAACTCACATTGCCATAGGAGGATGGTCTTCTCTCCTTCTCTCTCTCTCTCTCTCTCTCTCTCTCTCTCTCTCTCGCTCTCTCTGTGTGTGTGTGTGTGTGTGTGTGTGTGTGTGTGTGTGTGTGTACTCTTGGTCTTAGTCTCCAGCTCAATCAGTTTATTTCAGGATGCCTACCACCTTATGACTGTTTGATCTGGGTTCACCTGAAACTTTAGAAAGGGGTGGGCTTTTTTGGGGGGGGAAAGAAGTGATTTAATTTAGACTACTATAGAGGGTTGAAAGTAGGTGCTCAACGTAGCATGTTAAAGGGAGCTGTTACATAAAGGAAAGATGGACTCAGGTGCCTTTCTTATAGGCTGTCATTTAATTGTCCCAGTAATACTCAGGGCTTACGTCCATTGTTCTTTTCTGTAGGTCAACTGCTATCTGTGATTATGCTTCAGAGGGTTTTATTTCAAACTCACAAAGCTGCAAAGGAAACAGATGCTCAAAAAACTCAGGTCCCCTATGTCTAAGAAACCTCAAAATTTTTCAAAATGTGGGATGTGAAGGTAAAACAAGTGATTTGTGGAAGGTTCACTCCCATAAGTTGAAGTTTTGTCTACTTATTACAAGAAAATTTCTGTAGGTAGAAGATTCCGTGTTATTCTCCAGTGTCAACGGACCTGCACTCTTGGGACTCTAGCTGTTAGATTAGTATTGATTTCACCTAGTATATAGATCCAACAGCCATTGGTGTGGGACTTTACATCTATCTATTGGAAACAATCATCTGTATTTAAACAAAGGAGGGCCATGGTAATAAATATGCAAGCCTGAGCTTAAGAGCATGAATTTTAGAAAATTTTTAATTTGTGGCTGCTTCATTCACTGCAAAGTGACCTCCCTATGAGGCTCAGTTTTTCTCTATGTAATATGTAAAGGGAGAAGAAAATTGTAGTTTATAGTGTTAGAATTTGTACCTTGTGGTGATGTATTGTTTATGATCTAGTAAAGCCAATGGAGATTACTTTGCAAAGCCCAGCCACACTAGTTAGCTACAGAAAATAGACAGTGGTGACACACACCTTTAATACCAAAACTTGGGAGACAGGCAGATGGATCTCTCTGAATTCAAGGCCACTCTGACTTACACAAGAGTGAATGAAGAGTAACAGAACAGATCTCATGCCTTTAATCCTAGCACTTGGGATCACACTCCTTTAATCCCAGCACTAGGGAGGGTGCAGACAGGAGTGATATGGTTGGGTGGAGAAAGGAATAAAAGACAGGAATTCAGAACCTTTTGCCTGAGGATTTGTGGACTTTGAAGACTCAGGCTCCTATTTCCTTATCTCTACAGTGGAAATTGGTTGGTCACCTACTGTGTATGCCACATAGGATAGCACTTGTTAGGGTATAATGGCAGGCAGCTTTGGTCCACGTGTTTTATCTAGTCAAGCGGGTCTGTCACAAAATAAGCCACCAGGGCATAAGAACTGCTTTATGAGCGTAATCTGCTGTTTTACAGGAGATGAAAATGGGTAGTGGCAATCAGGAAGATTATCGAGGGGAACTTCTAATGAAAATGCCACTTAGTCACTTGCCATAACTTATAGGGCATGCATCTGGGCATAGAAAACACCAAGTGTAAAGATGAAAAATCATAGGAAGGTATTCTGATGCAGGGGGTGGCCAGGTGGATGTGGTGATGGGAGTAGGGAATGAATGAAGGGAAGACAATGGCAGGGGCTGCAACATCCTAAAGGGTTTGATGTGGCTTTCTTTAAAAGAGCTAAATTTGAGGAAGGTTTTTGTGTGGCAGAGTATTTGTACACTGTGAAGATGTCTTTGCCATGGTGCCTTGGTTTAACTGTGAGCTAAAGGGCCAATAGCTAGGCAGGAGGTATAGGTGAGATTTCCAGGAAGAGAAAGAAAGAGTAGGAGGAATCTAGGTGGGGTGGAGAAGCTAGAAGACACAGAGGAAACAGAAGGTGCAAGATGGAAGAGCTGGTAATGCCACATGATAGAACGTAGATTAATATAAATGGGTTAATTTAAGAACTAGTTAGGAACAAGCCTAAGCTATAGGACCACCTTTCATAATTAATAAGTCTCTGTGTGATTATTGGGGAGCTGGTTGGTGGGACAGGAAAAGACTCCTTACATTTTTGTAGAAGTGGGGAATAGAAGCAGCAGGGGCTGGTGAGACCAGACAGGCCCTGAGGACATGATTTCAGTAATCCTTTTGAGTAATGAGCCTGGCTTTTTTTATGAAGGCAGGTAGAAAAGTAGGTTCAGGAGGTAAGAAAGGAAGCAAAGACAAACATAGCTTTCATTATTAATAGGCACCAGAGTATGTTAATAGGAGATGGGGAGTAAATTATGAGATGAATAGGTAAACTGGTTTAATTTTTGAAAATGTTTCATGTTATTTTTTAGAATGGAATATGTCTTAGTTAGGGTTTCTATTGCTGTGAAGAGACCATGACCGTGGCAACTCTTTAAAGGAAAACATTTAATTGGGGCTGGCTTACAGTTCAGAGGTTTAGTCCATTATCATCATGGCAGAAAGCATGGCGTTGGGTAGGAAGACATGGTGCTAGAGAAGGAACTGATGTACATCTGTATATCTTGATCCACAGACAACAGGAAGTGAACTGAATCTGGCGTAGTTTGAATGTTAGGAGACCTCAAAACCAGCCCCACAGACACATACATGCTTCCTCCAATAAGACCACACCTATTTCAACAAGGCTACATTCCCTAGAGCTTACGGGGAACAATTACATACTACAGAGTAGGATAGATAATCTTACTGAGTTATTAAACTTAGAAATTAGAAAGGAGAACCACCATAGAACCACCATAGAACTATCTACTTCTACTAGATTTACCCCTGAAGGAATCAAAGTCAACATTACCACAGAGACACCCAAATATCCAGGTTTACTGCCTTACTATTCACATTAATCAGGGTTGGAACAAGCCTAATGCCCATCAGCAGATGAGTGTTTTTATATACACAATAAAACTTTAGTCATCTGTAAAAGTGAATGCAGTTGTCTTTTATCAGAGAATAGGTAAAACTAAAAACTAAAAGTAATCTCACGAAGTCAGACTCAGAAACACGTACATGGTTTCTTTCATACACAGAATTTCTTTTTGTATAGTATACATGTGTGTATTCATGTTAGATACATACGTGCGTGTGCACGAGGGACTCTGAAAATAGAGGACTAAAAGAAAAGGGAAAACTGGGGACTAAAAGAGATGACAGATCACAAATCAAATTTTGTCTTGTGTGCTAGTATAAGTATACATGTGTAGGTGTACACACACATACATGTGACATGAAAGTAGAAGGCAGATTTTTGAAGAGGAAAAGGTTGGGAAGATGGATAAAGAGTAGTGAGGGGTTAAATATAAATAAAAATATATATGTGCAAAACTGCCTTATTTTGTATGACATGAAACTATTTTGTAAGCTAGCTAAAAGTTAAAGAAGTAGAATGGTTTTTTTTGCATAGCACAAGGGCTCTGTTAGAGATTGCCAACAATAATAGGATCATTGTTGTTCTTTGTGAGTAGGAAGGTCTCAGTGGGGAGGCCCAGACAGAAATTAAATATGGGGGCAGCTGAAGGGGAAAGTGTTGGCTTGGGAGTGTGGATTTTGAGTGCATCAGTCACAGTTGGAACAGCAGACAAGCTTTGTAGGGTGAATCCATGGTGAGGGAAGAGAAGCAGACCAAGTTGTAGCCCCAGTGAAGACTAGTCTTGAAAGGTACCAAATAATAGGACCCAGAGAAGGGGGAACTAGCTGAGGGCCTACTATCCAGGGTATTGCTGAAGTCAACTTGGGCACTGAAGATCAATTCCACTAATGTGCCTGAAGATAGATCAGGACAAACTGAAATGAGCTGTGAAGAGTCTTAATTGCTCTTAGTAAAAATGGTATTTAAACACTTCTCTGGCACAGGCACGGAGATGGAGGTTCCTCTCACAGAGCTGACACCACAGGGATGGTGTGATGAAATCATGATGAGACAGGAATCTTTACTGGTTTTCTCACAGGATTCTGCACCCAAAACTGCCACCACCCCAGGAAGGAACATTTCCAAGCCGGACACCTGCAGCCTGAGAAAAGCACCAGGTCTGAAAGCCAAAGTGGGCCCTGCTGTTTCCTGCCTGAGGAGGAAGAGTGACAGTAGAACCCTAGGCTCTGACAGGGCCTTATTGCCTCAGAGGATCAGGCGTGTGTCCAGTTCTGGTAAGAATAAAGTAACTCAACTGTACTCTCTTATGCAATACTCTATGGATGATTTGCATGTAAAATTGGGCTTGGCAGAAAGCAGAAAGACCATCTTTTTAGAACTAATGCATGATGTCACAAAAGCAGCTAGCATTTTTTGTTTTTGTGGTCTGACAGCTGGTTCAGGAAAGATGGGGAGTCTGTGGAGACAATGCAGCCCTTACCTTTGAGCAGTGCAAAGCTTCTTTGGGGAGTGGCTGACATGTGTAAACGTCCAGGCTACCCAGAAGTAAGTGTGTGTGTGTGTGTGTGTGTGTGTGTGTGTGTGTGTGTGTGTGTGTGTAACTGTGCAGTTGGCTAACTGTTGCAAACATTGTGATATTCTTGGTTGTCAGTTTTGACATACCTGGAAAGAAGGAACTGCAACTAAGGAATTGCTTTCATCAGATTGGCTCCAGGGTATGTCTATGGTACATTTTCTTGGTGGATAATTAATGTAGGAGGAACCAGTACACTGTGGGCATACTGAGGCAGGCAAGCCTGGGATGCAGAAGAAAAGTACCTGAACATGAAACCTGAGAGCAAACCAATAAGCAGCATTCATCCATGGTCTCTGCTTCTGTTCCTGCCGTGACTTAAGTGACGGACTTTGACTTGGAAGTTTGACTCTGTTTCAAAAAAAACAAAGGGTGTGGAACATGCAAGATGACTTGGTGCTGGCTTCCAAGCCTGATGCCCCAAGTTGATCTGAGGGTCCCACAAAGTAGAAAGAGAGACCAATTCCCACAAGTTGTCCTCTGACCTGTACACATGCACTCTAGGGTATGTGGTCTCTTTCTCTCACACATTCAATAAATAAATGTAATAAAACTTTTTAATAAATGGCTACGTGCTTAATATGCTAGAGTGTTTTTTTTGAAGGACTGTAATATGCCCCCATCACATATGAAGAGATTTTTTTCCCCTTGAAGTTTACTGAAAGACATACAGAGATAGAGCAGCTAAAAAAGTGAAGCTTTTCTAATGTGAACTTTAATTTACCTTGGCTTGACTTTTAGAAGTTCTAGTTCTAGTCAGATTAGGCTGAAATTTGATAGTACCAAGAATGGCCTTACTGATTTTGGCAGATACACAGATTGCTCTGTGTTGGGAGCTGGAACAGCAAGTACAAAATTCATCCCTTTCTGAGACTAAGACGAAGGGCCTGCTCAGTTACCCAGAGGGCTGAAAGAATTTCGTGGGGAACACCCCTTATTTCTGCAGGTACAGCCTTGAGTAAAGGCATGTCAGGTAGATCCCTCATAAAAATACTGACTACTATTGAATGTTTAAAAAAATGTGCCTCCAAAGTGATGTGTCCCCACATGTGAGAACCCTTTATAGAATCTATAAAACCAGCTGGGTCCTGGACAACCTCTTCACTGCACGTCAACTTCACTTTTTTACGATCGATTTGCCCATTCCATGTCAAAGCTGCTGGTGTAAGGTGCCTGCTATGCTTGAACATGTGCTGTTTAAACTCTTGGTTAATGTCAAGGTCATGAGTATCGAGGGGTAGACCCCAGATGATGTGGGAGAAGAGGGATTTGCCACTCATCTCCATCTCCAGAGGGAACAGAGAAATGTGTCCCCATCAAGTGTTCATCATTTGGGAGGAAAATAAAAGAGAGGCTAAAATGTATTGGGGGAGCAGTGGTCTTTGTTTTCTCTACTGTCACCAATTGGGAGTCAACCAAGTTCTGGTCCTTGCTGCTGCCTGGTGGGGCTTGTGGTCTTTGCCAGGGGCTGGAGAGCTCTCTTCATGTTTCAATGTTTGGAGCACCTGGTACTTGGTGTCATGTGGAGCTCTGGTCACTGTACCCTGGCCTGTACTTAGGGCTCTGTGTTCTGGTTTCATTCTGTCACCACTGAGCTGCCAGGCCTGCCTGGCAAGCATTTCCCTCCCTTGGCATGGGCACTTGTCAAGTGTAAGGGTTTCAGAATCTTAGGCTCCAACAGCTTTTGCAGTCTTGTTTTTCTAGGGATGATAAGGAACTCTCCTAGATTTCTGAGAAATGACTACTACTGGTATGATTATTGGAGCAATGTCATACTTGCCTACTTAGGCACACATGCCTTTTGAGAAGTCAGGTCCCTGCTGGGTTCTGTTTAAACAGATGGAATTCTTTATGGAGCTGATCAGTCCTTTTAAAATTCCCTTTACCGTGTGTTGTGTATATTGTCTTAAGAGAAATGTGGACATGTTAGTCTAAAGATTTACTTTTTCTTTTAATGTGGGTGCTGGGAATTGAACCCAGGTGGACTTGGTTAGAGTTAAAAAACTAAATTATAGGTAATATATTAACATTAATATCAATAATAAGTTTTTATTAATAATAACATATATATATATATATATATTTTTCTTGTTTTTGAGACAAAGTTTCACTCTGTTTCCCTGGCTGATCTGGAACTTTCTGTGTACCTCAGGCTGTCCCTGATCTTGGCAATTCTCCTGCCTCTGCATTGAGTACTTAGGGCACAGGCATGTGTCACCATGTGCAGTTACTTGGCAGTTTTCTACATATAGATATAAGAAAATAGAATGTAACTATAACCACTATGGGTTTGAATTTCATTTTACTTTCTATGATTGGAAGACATTCTGTGGACTGAATGTTTGTGCCACCCCAAATTTAAATGTGGAAGCCCTAACTCTGGAGGTAGGGCCTGTGAAGAATTGCACAATTAAGTGAAACCATAAAGACGAGACCCTAGTCTAAACCGACTTAGAGGAAGAAATACCGGAACTGTAGCTCAGTCTTATGAGGCACTAGAGAAGGGGGCCATCTTGAATGCAGGAAGAGACTCTTACTAGGAGCAATTTAGCTGAGACCTTGGTCTTGTGGGACACAGCCACTAGAAATAAGAGAAAATAAATTCCTGTTGCTTGCTTGGGTCAGGCAGTCTGGAGTGTTTTTTTTTTTTTTTTTTCTGGCTAGCTGAGGGAAGACAGAAGACTAACTCAGTTGCACAGGATTCTGTTTAAAAATTAGTGACTGGGACTGGTTGGGAGAATCCCCAGAAATTGAGAGGTGTTTGTTGTGGAGAGTAAGGAATGTAATACGGCTGAATTCAAGGTAGAACAGAAACTCCAGGAGCAAGAACAGTACGCCTTTAGATCATTGAGAGCCTTTGCCCTTTGCTGTACAATGAAGTGTTTGTGTTCGCCCACTGAAACCAAATGGATGCCACTGTCATCTCCCACACTTACAGATGGGAAGGTAAGTGGCAGCGGTCTGCCAGCCAATGTGGGGTTTTCAATGACTCCTTTCAGAAAACTAAGCAGAAAGTCAGACCCAGAGTCAAAATAGCATTTTAAAAAAGTTTTAGACTGAGTATGAGAATGGATACAGTTATACCATTGGGGGGCGGGGGGGGGGGGCATTTCACTTGCCAAATGTGGAAACTTACATATGATGCCAGAATATAAAATAATACAAGTCAAACCCAAGCTCTTTTGCTTCTTCCGAGTGTGGCTTTTGTTGTTGGTGGTGGTACTGGGATTGAACCCAACATGCTGGCCTTGAGCATACTAGGCAAGAGCTCTGCCACTGGACCAGATTCCCAGCTCCGTTTTGTTTTTCTTTTGTTAATGAACTCAATTAAGAATGATTAGATAATGATGGAAATTTTCATAACAAGTATAATACTGATGATAATCAGCTCACTCAAATAAATGTGTGCCAATCTCTAGGTCTCTAACTTCCCCATTTCACCTCTGAGTTTACTTAACCCTTACGATGATTTTCTGAGACTCACTTCCAACTTGTAAACTAGGAAGCTGACCCACTGCTAAGTTCAATGACGTAAAGCTTTTACAGCTAGGAAGGGCAGAAGTGGGACTCAAATCGGGCATTGGGGGCCCCACGTCTGAGGTCTTAGCCTGACATTGTCACTCTAAAGGAGCACACATCTTTAATCCCAGCATTCAGGAGGTAAAGGCAGGCAGCTCTCTGTGAGTTTGAGGCCAGTTTGGTCTACAACATGAGTTACAGGACAGCCTCCAAAGCTACAGAGAGAAGACCTATCTGGAAAAACAAAACAAAAATAAAAACAAGAAGCACCATTGGACCCCCCAGTTTTGAACAAATTAAAAATTGTTTATTCCTGGCTCAGTGGTTTAGAGACTGTGGCCTGCTTAAGACCCTGGACTTGCAGTATCTTCTCAGCTTTCTGCAATGCCAATTCTTTTACAAGATCATTGAAAACTGAAGGCCAGAGGAGGAGTCAGCCAGGAAGTTCACCATGCTGTGAGTTCGGACATCTACCGAGATTCACTCACTAGGCCATTTAGTTTGGACTGATTTGGGTTACTAAGTCTGCACTTCTCTGGGTAGTATAACGGTCCCCTTAGAATCCAGCCTGAAGCACGTGGGATGACAGAAGCAAGATGGGACACCCTCTCTGTCCTGCACCTGTATCGGAGCTGGGAAAGCCTGGTCTATCCTCCTGCCCCAACCAAAAAGCAACTCAAAGGACTGCCCAGGGGTGAGTGAATAAGTGTTGCATGCAATAGACAGCTTTTAGTTTTACCCTGGAGAAAGAGAAGTAGCGTTTGGGGAGAGTAAACCTTCATTTTTATTTGGCTTTTTTGGGTTAGTGCATCCCTTTTGAGATGGCAGTACATCCAGAACTTGTCATGACTTATCTGTTATTGTGAATTTTTCTTCTTTCTCATTCACTTGTACAGCTTCTTGGTTTGTATGAACACATGTTTTCATGTATTCAGCATTTAAAATCTTCAAAAATTTTATAGTATTTCCTGAGTTTGAGAGAGGTAGTAAAAGAAATTTTCTCATGTTTATGAGTTATTAAAAACTAGAAATTATCACTGCTAACAATCTTATATTTGTAAGTAACTCTAACACACGTTACTCCTGTGTCTCGGGACTTCTACTGCAATGGTAATCATAGCTGATAGACTCGGGAGTTTTATGATGCGGCAGGCACTATCCTAAACTTTCTTCTGTGTTTGG